CAACCAGTTCATCCTAAAGAAAATCAGTCCTGGTTGTTCATTGGAAGGACTGATGATGAAGCTGAAACTCCAGTATTTTGGCCACCTGATGTGAAGAGCTGGCTCATTTGAAAAGACCCTGATGCTGGGAAAGATTGAAGGCGGGAAGGGAAGGGGACAACGGAGGATGAGATGGTTGGATGGCATCACTGACTCAATGGACATGAGTTTGGGTAAACTCCAGGAGTTGGTGACAGACAGGGAGGCCTGGCGTGCTCCAGTCCATGGGGTTGCAAAGAGTTGGACACGACTGAGCAACTGAATTGAACTGAACTGAACAGATGAAATAAAGGGTTGATTAGTGCCAAGGTTTGTGAAATTGGAAATTTGAATATTTTTTATAGTAACATAGCATCATCTCATGGAATATTACAGAAACTGTCAGAAAAGTTTATTGAACCACTGTTATTGAGAACGTGGCATGCTTTGGTCTAACTTCTAAATTTTACTGAAAATAATGTGTAAAAAAAAAGTCCAATGTTTTGAATAAAAAGAATTTATAAAAGTTAGAGAATATCTTACCCAAATGATTATTTTCTGGATAAGGAAACTGGTCTTCCATAATCAAACAACTTAGTATACTTCCATAGTAAGTTTAATAGTGGGATTTTAGAATTTATCTATGAAAAAATGAAGGTGCATTTATCTATATGATCATACATATTTAATATATGGAGTTACATATTTCAGTAGTGACTTTTCTAAAAATCAGTTCAGGAGATTTTAATAGAACTTTTTAGTTATAAGAATTTTAGATTTATAGAAAAATTGCAAAGATAGTAAGCAGAGTTAATTTTCATAGAAATATGAAATTACTTATATGGATAACAAAATTGTAGAGATGAAGTTATTTGGGGTATTATGTTCAGTTCTGCACATGTAGGTCAGGAGGAACAGAGAAAAACTGGAATGTGCTACGAAGAATAAATGGCAAATAGGTAGATAAGATAATGTGATTCAGAAAACCATTCTACCCAATGAGCTGCAGAGATAACTGGGGTTGGTAATTGTGGAGAAAACATGTATCAGGTCAGGAAGTGAAACTTTAAGTGTCTCAGTGTCTGCTCTGGGAAATGTGGGTTATGCTTCATTTCATGTGACTGTTAAGGTAAGGATGAGTTCTGATCGACCAAAGGTGTAGGAAGACAGTTTTGTTTCACGGCAAATCACATCATTCTAACTGAAAACAGAAAGAGCAATCTGATAAGTAATGAGTTTTCTGTCATAAGGGATATATCCATTCAGAAAAATCAGACTCTCCTTGAGAATTTGGTGTGGCAGGGGATACTGTTCAATAGAAAGTCAAGAGATGAAATTTGGTCCTGAAACCACTATTATATATTTGAATTTTTATATTTGTGGCATAGAAATACAAGTGGGATGTAGGCGATTCCCAAACCAAGGTGAGGTAAGGGTGCTCATTTAAAGGTTAAGTGTATTCTGATGTATCTTGTTAGATAGACAGATGCCACTTGTGTCTCACTGACCAGGAAGAGCAGACAGGAGGAAATCCATGGGACATTCTGGAATTTTTGAACATGCTCAGACCTGACCTGATGAGGATGTTCCCACCACTCCACTGGTGGGAAATGCTGGTCAGTGTTTCTCTAAGAAACCAGGGAGACCAGAGCAACGATGCCAAGAACACCCCTTGGTTTCTCAATGACATTTCATTTGAGATACTGTAGAATGTGGAACTTCATAAAATCCAATGCTGAAGACAGGTATTAACATCATAGGATGACACTGTATCATAACAATAAGAGCAAGGATTTCATCCTAGTAGGCAAATTTGATTTGTAGTGCATTCAGTCTCCTGTTTTAAATCCAAGCATGCTGAGACCCATTTTCAGGTCCACCGCCCCTCGCGGGACCGCCTCAGATGCTCGGTGATGTGCTTTGCAGACTGTGATTCTGCATCCAGCCGTCGCCCGCTGCCACGTGTGTGCCCCCAGCACCCTGCCCGGGCTTGGACACAAGGTCGTGCCGCCGCCCTGTGGGGACGCCATTCACACCGGGTCCTCAGGTTCACATGCTCCACGCTGGGTGGGTAGGGTCACCCTGCCCAGCCCACTCCGGCTTCCATCCTGTGCCTCCTTCCTCCCACGTGTATTTCCTCCTCGCCCTGAGTGGGCTGACTCCCCACATCAGATCTCTTCCCTGCCCGATGCTCTCCTAACTCCCCTACAACACCGCTGGCTGAGCACCCTCTGAGTTCAGCTTCCTTCTGTCTTTGTTCAGGCTTTGCACCAAGCTGCCCTTCAAGGAGATGGCCTTGTCGTCTTCAGTCTCTCTCTCTTCCTCTCTCGCCCTCTCTCTCTGTCTCTGTCAGTCTGTCTCTCTTTCCTCCCTACATTTTTCCTCCCTACATTTCTCCGCCCTGTCTAAAGCTTTAGGACTAAATTGTTCTGGAAAAATATTTAGGAATGAAAAGAAAGGGAAGCGAAAGGAAGGGGAAGAGAAAGCACACAACGGGTTTGGTTCCACAATGCCAACAGCAACCATGACAGACTCAAGTGGAAATGAAGTGTTGTAGAGGCACATGTTTAATATAGAGGTTATTGATATACAAATTGAGTGTTTGTAAATTGGAAGGCAAACGATCAATGTATCCCACTGAAAACTCTCCCAAATTAACTAAGACAATGCTGTCAGAAAGAATAATGTATCCAGGAAAAGCATCAGAAAGGATAATGTGACCTGAGTCCACAGGTCTCTATAAACCTTAGCAGTCAAATCTTAAAAGTCAACTTTTGGCATATAAATGGTATGCACTCTCAAAGCAAAATGATATGCCTTTTCTTAATA